ATATTCCATGGTTAATTTATTGTTAATGTCAACACTTATAATAATAATATACAGCTGATATTCCACAGTTAATGTATTGTCAACACATAATATAATAATATACAGCTGATATTCCATGGTTAATTTATTGTTAATGTCAACACTTATAATAATAATATACAGCTGATATTCCACTGTTAATGTATTGTAAACACATAATATAATAATATACAGCTGATATTCCATTGTTAATGTATTAACAACACTTATAATAATAAGATACAGCTGATATGCCACAGTTAATGTATTGTCAACACATAACATAATAATATACGGCTGTAATTATACAGTTAATGTATTGTCAACACATAATATAATAATATACAACTGATATTCCATGGTTAATGTATTGTTAACACTTAACATAATAATATACAGCTGATATCCCATGGTTTATGTATTTTCAACACTTAACATAATAATATACACCTGATATTCCATGGTTAATGTATTGCCAACACTTAACGTAATAATATATAGCTGATATTACATGGTTAATGTATTTTCAACAATTAACATAATAATATACAGGAGATATTCCCCAGTTAATGTATTGTCAACACTTAGCATAATAATATACAGCAGATATTCCACAGTTAATATATTGTCAACACTTAATATAATAATATACAGAGATATTCCACAGTTAATGTATTGTCAACACATAATAGAATAATATACAGCTGATATTCCACAATTAATGTATTGTCAACATTTAACATGATATTATACAGCTGATATTCCACAGTTAATGTATTGTCAATACTTAACATAATAATATACAGCTGATATTCCACAGGTTATGTATCATCAACATATAATATAATAATATACAGCTGATATTATAGGGTTAATGGATTGTCAAAAATTAACATAATAATATACAGCTGATATTACATGGTTAATGTATTATCAACACTTAACATAATATTATACAGCTGATATTTCACAGTTAATGTATTATCAACATTTAACATGATAATATACAGCTGATATTCCACAGTTAAGGTATTGTCAATACTTAACATAATAATATACAGCTGATATTACATGGTTAATGGATTGTCAACACTTAACATAATAATATAAAGCTGATATTACATCGTTAATGTATTATCAACACTTAACATAATAATATACAGGTGATATTTCACAGTTAATGTATTGTCAACACTTAAAATAATAATATACAGCTGATATTACATGGTTAATGTATTGTCAACACTTAACATAATAATATACAGCTGATATTCCACACTTAATGTACTGTCAACACTTAACATAATAATATACAGCTGATATTACATGGTTAATGTAGTGTCAACACTTAACATAATAATATAAAGCTGATATTACATGGTTAATGTATTGTTAACACTTAACATACTAATATACAGCTGATATTCCATGGTTAATGTATTTTCAACACTTAACATAATAATATACACCTGATATTCCATGGTTAATGTATTGCCAACTTTTAACATAATAATATATAGCTGATATTACATGGTTAATGTAGTGTCAACACTTAACATAATAATATAAAGCTGATATTACATGGTTAATGTATTGTTGACACTTAACATAATAATATACAGCTGATATTCCATGGTTAATGTATTTTCAACACTTAACATAATAATATACACCTGATATTCCATGGTTAATGTATTGCCAACACTTAACATATAATATATAGCTGATATTACATGGTTAATGTATTATCAACACTTAACATAATAATATATAGCTGATATTACATGGTTAATGTATTATCAACACTTAACATAATAATATATAGCTGATATTACATGGTTAATGTATTGTAAACACTTAACATAATAATATACAGCAGATATTACATGGTTAAT